TAATAAATTTTATTTTATATTTTAATATTTGTTTTTTAAAATATTTTTAAATTTAATATTTAAATTTATTTTTTTTTAAATTTTTTATAAACTATTTATTAAAAAATATTATAATTAATTATATTTATTCAAGTGATTGGTTATTTTTGTAAGCTACTGTATATTTTTTACCTAAAATATAAAAAGACAATAAATTATTTAACAATTTATAACAAACTTTAAAAAAAGAAAAACAAGATATAAAAGAATATTTTTAACAAGTTATATATATCTTGAATTATAAAATATATTAAAAAAGATAAGAAAAAAGTAAAATGGAATTTAATATCAATTTATAGAATAATGAAGAAGTGGAAAATAAAAAAATTATTTTTAGCAAAAAAAATAATAAATATTAATATAAGATTGTAAACAAAAAAAAAGATTATAGAATAGATTCATATATGCTATATACTCAAGATATACAAAGTAGCAATTCAAAAGATTCTAAATAAAATATTACAAGTCTGGAGCAAAAAGTTTTACTAGTAAATCTGGAATATAAGATATAAAAAAATTTATAATTATAAAAAAGCACCTAATAAAGAAAAAGAAAGAAAATCATATTTTAATTTAAAGATATTAAAAAAAGTATCCAAGCCTAAAGAGAGATTCTTAAACTAAGAGCAAGAACATAATTCAAATGTTTTTTATTATTAAAAAAAATTTTTTTTAAATATAATAATAAAAAAAAAAACTTTATATAAAAGTTTTTTATAATTTAGATTACCAAATTCAAGTATTTTTAAGTTTTGTTTCTATTAAAATAATAAGTAAATAATTATATTTCCTTTAAAAAAAATACAATTGATTTGTAAAATGTTATATATTAAATAGTTTAGGAACTTATCTTTATTCAAGTTCAAAAATAAATTCAGATTATAGAAAAAAGAAAAAAAGATAATAGCAATATTAATAGATACAAATTTAGTAATTAAAGATATTATGGTTTCAGAAATTTTTATATAAACTTTATAAAATAAAATAAAGGAGAAAATTAAGTAATTAGAAATATAATATAATCAAGATTTTGTTAAAGTGAACTGTAATAATAAATTGCAAACAATAAACTCAAATTCTTCTAGAAATAGAGAAGATAAGCAAGTAACTTTATTTATTTTCAAAATCATATTTAAAAATTGATAATTAGCAATAAGTATTCAATTAACTTAATTTATATATAAAGTCTTGTATTAATATTTTTTTAACTCTAATGATTAAATAAATATAATAAATACTTGTTTAATTATGAAAAAAAAAATTTTTTATTTAACAAATATTAATAAATAGGTATTTACTAATTATAATTATTAATAAAGTAAAAAAAAAACTCTTTCCCACAACACCTCCATCTGTAGAAAATTGCCTTTTTAGGATGCTTCTTTCTTCCAAGGAACTTTGTCTAGTAGAATATGTCTTTTGGAAAGAAAACATAGACCGGAAGACTGATTTAAAGCAGTGGGGTTTCAAGGATAAGATTGGCCCCTGGGGTTTCCAACAATGGAGCCCGCACTAAGAGGTCTAGTGACTAGTAACGGTACTGAGCAATAACTTGGAATAGAGAAGATGAATAAAAAGAAAATTTTTTATGTGAAAGCCATTTCTATACACAACTGCTACAAAACAAACACATCTCTTATTTCTAACTCAAAAACAATTACATTCTCAAGAGGCAGCATTTTATTTTTTTAGTTTTTTTGTTTTCTGTTGATAATAACTAGTATAAGATTTCACATAATTTTTTGACTAGTTATAAGTCCTTGCTCATAAATTTCAATACAAAAATCGCAACTAGCTTACCCTCATCAAATGATCTACAACACACAAAACACCAATCATATTCCGTACTACCTCTATACACCAAAGCAACATAACAACTTACCAGATTGGGAGAGCACATGATCAGTGTCCTGCGCAGGTTCTGGTAATTACAATACACAACAATTCATCAAAACAATATAATAGACATCTGGAACGTGTTTCAGTCACCTTATTATCTATATCACAACACAATAACATCACATAACAACAACATCACAAAATCTTACATGATCAAACTCATCGAGTTATATATGGCTTGCGCAGTGTCGACACTCGACTGAAACAACTAATTACGTTCAGGAACCATATTTAACAAAAGCTTCAATATTTTTTTTTTCCTTTTCTTTTTACTCAAATATTTTACAATGCCTGCGATCTTGCCTCAAATGTTTTTTTTTATTTTTTATTTTTTACAACAAATAGTTCTTCAGGTTTTCCCTGCTCAAGGGTTTTTCAAATGATATATTTGTTTAATAGGTGGTAGGTTAATATCTATAGCGATATAACTCATATCTTAATATTAATTATGTAACAAGTTAAACTTTTGCTTTATTAATAAAGATCATGAGTAATACCTCACTTTAACATTAAAAAAAATTATTAATAAAGTAAAAAGTATAACTTGAATCAATTATAAACTTTTTAATATAAATTTGATAAATAATAAAAATATGCTTGCTTTTGTAATTATTTAAAGCAAATAATAAATTAAAATATCTTAGATATTAAATTTACTTTAAAAATCATACTAACCATTGTAATTGTCATCAAAGTAAAGAATATAACTCAAATTGATAAAAACACCTTTAGCATGAATTTACTTAATAAATATTAATAAAAGTATGTAACTATTATTAAGGCAAAGAATATATAATCAATTAGAACACCTTTAATATAAATTTATTAAACAATAAAAACAAGTAATTATAATAGTAGGATTTTTCGAATATCAGTTTTCTTTCTAAATGCAATTTAATTAAATTGATTTTTCGAAAAAACATGAAATAAGATATTTATATTTACTTAAAAAACATGCTTACTATCTGTTATTATTTTTAAAGAAAAAAATCACCAATAACACCTTATATAGATTTATTTAACAAATATTAATGAAAAAAATGCTTATCGACTGTAATTCTTATTAAAGTAAAGAATATAGCACAAATTAATTGAACCACCTTAAATATAAATTTGCTTAACAAATATTAATGAAAATATGCTTGTCATATGTATTAATTGCTAAAGTAAACAATATGACTCGAATTAATAAAAAATATTTAGTATAAATTTACTTAACAAATATTATGAAAATATACTTGCCATCTGTAATAGTCGCTAAAATAAAAATATAACTCAGATAAATAAAAACATCAATATTAATGAAAATAAGTTTACTCCTGAAAGAAAGAATGTAAGTTTTATTGGTTAAAACATATTTGATATAAATTTAGTTTAAAAAACAAAGAAAACACATACTTATCGTTTGTAATTGTCGTTAAAGATCAATAAAACACCATTAGGACAAATTTACTTAACAAATATTAATGAAAATTGTGCTTACCAAATATATATCAGATAGATAATAAAATAAAGTAAGAAAAAAAAAATTAGAATTAAGTGTACTTTTAATACAACTCCTATTTAGTATTTGTCGGCCAAATCGCGAAATAGATGCATCAATTGCTATAATTAATTATGGAAACCAATATGCATAATTATAATAATTGTAGCATGAAAATCCGTTTCTAAAAATTGCAATTATCAAGAGTTGGCCAGTATAACTTTCTCAAATACAACCTAATGGACGAAGATCAAGGTTGTAAAGTATATATTGGTTTTCAATATGATCAAGTCTACTAACGACGGTACTACTATTTCAGGAACTACAGAAGATGCTATTATCGCAGTACAAGAGAATAGTTTGTCTTAATAATCATTAGTTATCCAGTCTAATCGAGTTTACTAACGACTAGTACTGTCATTTCAGTTAATGTTGAAGAAGGCACTATTCCAAAGTTGAGTCCAGAAGAATTAGCGATATGTAATAGTTTAAGTAATGCAGAAAAAGTTATTTTTTTGAAGGTACTTGGTCAAAGAAAGGAAGAAGGAAAGAAAGAAGAGCGCAAAAGAGGAGTATGTTATAAACTATATATTTGTCATCGAGACTTTGCCAGACTTTACTAAAATTATAATAGTTTTTTCGACGTTTTTTTTCACCTTTAAAATAGAGATACTTCGTAAATTTAATAATTGCTCTACTTATAATACTTGTCGCTATAACCTTCAATATATTTGATGCGACACAAAAAAATAAAAACAATGACATTATTAAATATTTTACTATATGTTTACATTCTATCGTCTTTGGAATTCAACTTTTCTGGGCAGGAGTAGAAGCAATACGAGAGAGATCTGATAAAAAAGTACCATATTATATATTTACTTTTCTTTCTCTATTACTTGGTATTCTTCTTCCAATATTTCTAGGATTATTTCTTATTACACCAACTGTCGCAATAGCGTGGGCAGGGATTGGTGTATTAGCCTCCAATCTTGCAAGAGATTTTTTTGAATTACATGTAGTGCCGTAGTAAACAAAAAATTAATTATTATCTGATATCTTCTTGTTTGCTTATTGCAAGGTTATAGGGAAGCGTCCGCCATACTAAGTTATCTTTTTGCTTACATAATGAATATCGATATTCAAGTTTACTTACCTGATTCATTTTTTTTTTGGCTTCAAGAATATGGGGGAATTTGGCTTTATCCCTAGTGTCCCTAGTAGTATGATAAAAGTATACCGAAATTTTTGTCACAAGTTGTTTGTAGGTACTTGTGGCAGAACTTGCGACACCTGTTTGAGAGTTTTGAGCTTCTTTATTTCTTTCTTGATTACTCCTTTATATCTTTCACAAGTTACTTAAGTAAAATAATAGAATTCTAAGAGAAAAAATAACTCTTTCCTATGGATACCTTTGATATACACCCGATATATACCAGATACCAACATACTATATCTATATACGATACCTATCTATGTTATATGCGCATATACCTACCTCAATATATACTATGCTATGTGCGCTATATCTATTAAAAGCAATGTTTCTTCGAGCCTACTATGATATATACTGTACCTAATACTTACCCATAGAAAAAAAAATAAAAAAAGGTGGGACTTAACAAATTAACCTAAGAAACTTGTGACAGCTGTGACAGTTATCGAGAACAATTTTTTTTGAACTCAGATTCCCAAGAATCCATCTTTCTACCGATTTTTTCACTTGAGACGAACTCGTGACAATTTGTGACACTTGATTGAACTATATCTGTATACTCACTTGCTATCTATTTTCTCCAAGCATCTCTGATTTTTGTGCTGATAATGATTTTGAAATCTATACTTACCAGCATGAGTTCTGTACATGCCAAATATAGATGACGTTAATTTACCACACTCTTTACATGGTACATGGGTGGGAGAATTCTAGTGAACTATACATCCCTCTGGTTGATAACAACTCTCGTTACAAACCTTATCAGTCTGTAAAGGTGAAAAGATTACCTTTTTAATCAGAAAATCCAGAAAACTCGGAAAATTTTAAGCCAGAGTCAGAAAAAAATAACAGGGTCAAAGATTTTAGAAAGCAAAAAGGTAAGTCAGGTATTTCATTATAAAAAACTTTTATATTCAGTAACCTTAAACTTTTTAATGTTTTTCAAATTGCAAAATATTTTATAATATTTTTATTTTTTTGATTTCAGAATTCAAATTACAAAAAGGTTTTTTATCTTTGATAATTAATAAAAAATTTTTAATTTGTTTTTTTTTTAGTTTTTCTTTTTTGATTTTTTCAAATTCAATAAAATTTCTAAATAACAAATATAAATCTTTAATATTATATTTATTATAATTAATTTTTTTAAATTCTAAAAATATAAAAAATTCTTAAATAATTATTACTTTATTAGTTAAAATATAATATTATTTTATTTATTTATTTATTTATTTTTCCTCCAAATCAAATAGCAAGCCATTTAGTTTATTAATCTTATTTGTCAGAAAACAATTATATATTTGTATTAAGAATACTATAATAAAGCTAAACTATTGTATTGCTATACAGCATATTTATCATAAGCCTAAGGTCTCTATATATGATAATACAGTAGAAAATAAAAAACTTGCTCAATTTTATTTTGATACTTCCACCAGTCTAAAATATCATGGTCAGCTCTTATTCAGAACTGTTACCTCTACATTATTGCTATGGTTCTATAGAGATAAAAATTTTTTATTTTTTAAAAAAAAAATAAAAAAAAAAAAATTTTGAAAAGTTTGTTTTGGTAAATAAAAATCTATCAATATTAATTTCAATTTATCAAGATAAATTCTTTACTATCACTTGCAACTGAACAAATTATTTGATTTCTACTATTCTATTACTAATCAAAAATATTTAAGATACCTATAGCAAGACTTACAGTAGAAATTATTGTTTATAAAGTTTTATAATTTAAATGTTTAATTAATGCCTTCTTGAAATAATCATCAATAAAAAAGGCTTGTTACTGAATTGAAATAAGATTTTTTTTTGATTTTAAAGAAAAAAAAAACTAGTTCAAAAAAAAAAAAAGAAGATATCAAATCACTTTTATCCAAGAGAATACCATAATACCTTGCTCTTCTACTTTTTTCAATTATATTATTATTATTATATTATGTGACAAATAAGTATGAGTCCTTAAATTATTTAATATATAAAATTCTGCAAATCAATTATGTCCTTTTTGAGAGAATATAATTATTTGTTTATTACTTTAATAGGAATGTAATTCAAAAAACACTTGGATCAAGTGACCTAAATTGTAAAAAACCTTTGTATATGGTTTTTTTTTGATCTTATATTTAAAAAAAAAACTTTTTTAATAATAAAAAACATTTCAATTATATTCTCACCTTTAATTTAAGAACCTATCTTTAGTGACAGGAACATATAAAAAGTACATGTCTTGTTTATTTTTTTGTTATATATTGATCAATTAATTTAAAATTTTAATCAATTATTAACTGAGATTCCAATACAATAAAAAATTAAACTAAAGTAGACAAAATTTCTCAAAAATTTATAAAAATTTATTGATATATTTGAGAAGACTATTGTAAATATCTAATTGATGAAAAAAACTATATGTTCATATTTATAGACCAAAACACTAGCTTATCAAACTATCTTTAGCAAAGGTATTTACTTATAATAAATCCAAGATTCTTATGAAGCTTGGAAAATGCATTTATTAATAGACTCTTCTAAAATTTCAGATCTTAAAAAAAAATAGAGAAGTATATTTTTTTAACAGATTTCTTCTTCCCAATAAGATATTCTTGTTAGAAATTAAATAAGTAGTATTTTATTATTAAAATATTTAAAGAGTTTTTAAAAAAAAAAGATAAACAAATAGAGAAGACTTTGCTTTCAAAAACATATATTATTAAAGAAAGTGTTTAAACTTTATTATTGAAAAACAAAAAATTTTTTAAGAACATTTGTTTTTTGGATTGATAAAAGAATTAGTAGAAAGAGTTTGCTAATAATATAAAATTTAATATTATTTTATTTATTTTATTTTTTTTTTTCCGGTAGGTAAACATCATTTTTTTATTTATTTGTATATTAATAGATATACATTACAAAAGAAACAACATCTCTTGGGTGCAAAAAGCATACAACAAGTTAAATGCTAGCCTGCCTACACTTCTATACCTAG